TTTCCCTCTTCCACCACCTACCCCAGTCCCAAGTGTGGTCCTTCTCTCTTCTGAATAAAAAATGTTGAAAACTTCCTTTTTCACCCTTCTCATTCCCCTACTAGACAAAAACATACCAACCCACGGTTTATTCATCTTTGTATCCCCTACAGCAACCAGCCAGCACAAGGTCTTGTACTTAAGAGATGATCAATAAATATTTGTTAAGTGAGTAAAAGCAACAGTTAGCCTGTTAAAAGGCATGGTCATTATTTTAAAGGCCCTGAGGAATGGCTTACATGCCCAGCAGCTGATCAAAAGCTAGTGGAGAGCAGGAAGAAGAGCAGGAGGGATGGAGTGAGGCTGAGAAGAGGTACTGTTCCTCTGTATATCTGCCCCTGAAAGCTGACTGAACCCCAAATGCATCAGGGATTCAACTGTACAGCTGAAGAGCTGTGGAGCTGGTGAGCATGAGTGTCTTCACCTTGTCCCAAATTGTCCACTCTTTTTTTTTTTTTTTTTTTTTTTTTTTTTTATCCTCACCCGAGGATATTTTTCCATTTTTTTACAGATAGAGTGGGAGGGAGAGAGAGAGAGAAACATCGATGTGAAGAGACACACCGAGCGGCTGCCACCCGCACGACCAACCAGGGCCGGGGACAAACTGCAACCAAAGTACGTGCCCTTAGCGGGAACCGAACCCGGGTCTCTCAGGACCGCAGGTCGACGCTCTAACCGCTGAGCCAAACTGGCCAGGGCCACTCTTTTTTTATATATCCTCACTTGAGGACATTTTTGCATTTATCTTCAAATAGAGCAGGAGTGAGAGAGGGAGGAAGAGAGAGAGAGAAACATGGATGTGAGAGAGACACATCAAGTGGTTGCCACCCACACGACCCCAACCAGGGCCAGGGACAAACTGTAACCGAGGTACGTGCCCTTAGCAGGAACTGATCCACAGGCCGAAGCTTTAATCACTGATCCAAACTGGCCAGGGATCCACTTTGTTATTTTTCAATCCTCACTCAAGGATATTTTTCATTTATCTTTAGATAAAGTGGAGGGGGTGGGGGGGGAGAAACATCGATGTGAGAGAGACACATCGACTGGCTGTCTCCCACATGACCCCAACCAGGGCCAGGGATGAACCGCAACCAAGGTACATGCCCTTGACTGGAATCGAACCTGAGACTCACCAGTCCGCAGGCTAATGCTCTAACAGCTGAGCCAATGGGGCCAGGGCCAAATTGTCCATTCTTGCTTCAAATCAGAAGTGGGAAATGGAATTAGAGGTGGGCATTTCCTTTCAACTTTAAGGTATGGCTGTAATGAAAAGTTGAAATAGCTATCTGGAGGTCAAAGGACCTCCCTTGAAAATTAAGTATAGGTGTTCCGGACTTGGGGAGGAGAGTGTGTAAGGAAGCAGAGGAGATGGTTCTTCAATTATCAGCTAATTGTCTATATTGATTATATTCCACAGCACAGAGCTTTTCTCTTCATATTGTCAATACAAACATCTGGGGACACTTTCTGTGACCACTACACTAAGCTAGCTCAGGTTCAAGACTACAGTCATAACTAACAAACTGCAATTTGTTTTATTGGAAAACAATGTCCACCAATTAAAAAAAAATTATTAGGGATTAAAATACCATTCTCTTTTCCATTAACCTATACCTCCTCATAATCCTCTCTGAAGAAAAGCGTTTTTCTAAGATGAATGAAAGGAAGAAGTCTGTAGTGGTCTTAATTTTAAATGTATATATTTGCATTATATATATTTATTTAAATTTATATATTTTTAAATATATATAATAAGTTAATTCATATAGGATAGGCCTAATTTCCTAAACCTTGGTATTTTGTTTTTAAAGTTTTAGTTTTAGATCACTATTATTTAAGACTCTGATCTTCTCTTTCTTTCATATTTTAACAAAACCTTAATTTCTAGTCCATCAAAATTTTGTTTTGTAATTAATTTCAGAGTTGCCCTCATGAACTGGGAGGCATCTGAAGTTTTATAAAAAATGCACTGGATCTGAAATCAGAAAACTGAGCCTTGAAAGTAATGCCTAATCTGAACTTAGGTTCTCCAGTTCTAGAGGGCAAATTACCTGATCTTCCCCACCCTCAATTTCCCAATCTGTAAAATGCGAATTAAGAATAGTACTTGCTCCCTGGCCGGTTTGGCTCAGCGGTTAGAGCGTTGGCCTGCCGTCCAGAGAGACCGGGGTTCGGGTCCCACTAAGGGCACGTATCTCCTTGCAGTTTGTTCCCGGCCCTGGTTGGGTCATGCGGGTGGCAGCCACTCGGTGTGTACCTTTCACGTCGATGTTTTTCTCTCTCTCTCTCTCTCTTCCTCTCTCTCCCTCCCACTCTATCTGAACAAAAAATGGAAAAATGTCCTCGGGTGAGGATAAAAAAAAAAAAAAGTAATAGTACCTGCTTCCTAAGGTTGTTGTGAGGATTAAATGAGCTAAAATCATGTAAGGTATTTAGAATAAAGTTAAAAAACGTAATATACTTAGAACATTATCTGGTAACTGGTGCTTACTAAATGTCCATTTGTTTTATAGTCTCAATAAAGTCAGTTTACAGTTCAAAGCCTCCATTTCCTTGTCTATAAAATGGGTCTACTACCATTTGCCACCTCTTGGATTGTTACGAGATTCAAATAAGAAAACAATGGATGTGAAAGTGTCTGATATGCAGAAAGTACACAAAGGCTAGTTATTTTGGATCACCTATAAGCTTCAAAGTAAACCATAAACTTAAAAACTTATAAGCTTAAAAGTAAACCATAAAATTGAGTCAGAAAATACCATCCAAAAACTCATCCATAACTGAGAAAATGTCTATGTTAAAATGCATACTCAAAGAATTTATCTTTATCAGAAATATATAAGCTTTTGTAAAATGTAATTTCCACATCTGCAAACTAGAAAGACTCCCTCAGTCAAAACAAACTGCCCCACTATATTGTAAAGAAGACAGCCTGCACACTTTCATAAGCCAAAGATAAACTGATGCATTGATTAAAATTTGATTGCATGTATAGAAACTTCTAAAAAATTATTTTTTCACTTTAAAAAATAGTAAGTAGCTCTAGGATTTCTCTTCAAAACTTATAAATCTTTTGCCTTTTGCTAAAACATAGTACACTGTAGCTAATGTAAAGTTCAAATCAACTCAACAGATATTTATTGTGTAACTGTGCTCTAGGTAACTCACTTGGGAATTTAAGGATGCAAAGGGAAATAGGCCCAGGCCCTGTGATGAAAAAACTCACAGATTATGAGCTGATATTTCAAAATATTACTTGTAAAAATCATGAGGGGGCTTCCATTTGAGTCAGCAAGCAGACAAGAAGCATAAAAATATACCAAAACAATTAAATCCTTCCCTATGGCTGAAAAACTGTCTTTTAAAAGCAGAGTCACTTTTGAAGCACAGTTTCTATCTAGAAACCTATTGAATTTGTGCCAGAAACCAACATTCCTAAATGTAAACCTGTAAAATAATAGGTATCTCTAAATGAAAGGCTGAAATAACCCCGGGAGCAACAACACAGTAATTAGCAACTTTTATGGAGTAATAACATGTTTCATATTCTTTCTACACTAGCTCTTTGAAGTTCCCAATTTTCCACAGTGTAATATATATAAAAGTTTTATTACATTAGGGCCCATCCTCATGTATTTTATAAGAAACTGTTCCATAATGTTCTAGTTTTGCATCAAGTTTGTGACACCTGGCTCTAGAAAGATAAAAGTCACTAGAAACCTAAATCACTGAAAATATACATACATCCACATATCATCTTGACGATCTATAAATCATAAAGCAGTTTAGCTTTAAAATTGTACACTGCATATTCATGTGCAACTACTTGGGAGTTGTAGACACATGTGAACTCTTTAAGAAATTAAACCCAAAAAAGAAGAAGAAAGAAAGAAAAAGCTCCGCTCTACAATAAGTGGTTCAGAGGCAGAACAGAGTGCAGTTTAATATGCTTGTTTCAGCAGATGTTCATTCCCGTAAATATTAAACAGAACACAAGTCCCTCCAGGAATAATATGCAGGCAGTAATTTTACCACCTGAATAGGGCTGGTTGGAAACATTTAGGCGATTGGGGGGTGGGGGGTAAGAAGGATGTTGAAGCAGCCAATGAGATTTTTAAAACACCCGCAACCGGAATTAAACTGCTTCTAGCGGCGATTTACCTACAGCAGCTCCTCAACGTGAGAACCCAAGCACAGAACCCGGAGGGCTCCCAGGCCGCCGCGCCCGGGGCTGCGAGCCCGGAGCTGGGCGCAGGGCTGCACGCGGCGCGGGTGGGTGGAGTGGGGAAGAGGAGAACTGTGCGGAGGTATGCAGAAGGGGCCCGAAGGAATCGTGAACCTCGAGGAAACGAACCTCCCTGGGCCAAGGCCTCTGGAATCCCCCCACGGAGAAACACAAGCCCCCTGCCCTGGTGCTCACTTCCATCTCGGGTGGGAGTGGGTGGGAGGGGCGGAAAGGACGGACCCGCCAGGACCTGGCGCCGACAGGCAGCGGCTGGAGCATCCTCTAAGGGCACTTCGCTACAGCCCCAACTCCAGGGGGTCGGCTGGCGTGAGCCCCAGGCTCTCGAAGAAGAGGGAGAGGGTTCGGCCGAGGCAAGAAAGAAGAGAGGGGCTAGCGGGTCGAAGGGTGGATCGGGCACTGGTGACACGTTCTAGAAATCGGTTCCGTTTTTTTCTCTCCATGGCTGCGCTCTGCCACTGGCTTCCCGGATCACTGGCCCCTGGGCTGGGGCGGGCAGCCCCGGGAGAGGAGACTGGGAAGGGGGCGAGATGACGGGCAGGCGGCCGCGCATCCACCCTGGGGGGCAGGAAGGAGCGGGCGCGGCGAGTGCCCGGACCCACCCCACCCCCACGGCGCAGCCCCCGGCCCAGGTGAGCCTCCGGCCCCGCGGCCCCCCGCCCCTCCCCGCCCCCCGGCGCTCCCGCCCGCCCAGGCGACCGGCGCGGGGACTCACCACAGTGACTCGAGGTCCCATTCCTGGAGCAGAGCTAAGTCGAAGCTGTCCATGGTGGGAGGTGTCGGTGTCAGTGCCGCCGCCGCCGCCGCCGCCGAGGCTCGGGCCGCCCGCGCGCTGCAACGAAAAGCGGCGCTCAAGGTGCATCCCAGCCGCGCCGGGGCCGCCGCCGCCGCCGCCCCCCTCACCGCCACCTCGGTCGGGCTCCCCGCACCCCCGCCCCTGACGCGGGCCGGCTGGGCGGCAGCGACCACACTCACCCGCTCGCCGGCTCGCGCGCAGGCACACTCGGGAGAGCGGCTCGCTCGCCGCGCCGCCGCCGCGCCTGCCCCTCCTCCTCCCCGCCCCGCGGCGGCCCGGCCCGCTGCCCCCGCCGCCGCGCTCCGCGCCGCCGGCCGCCTCTTTCTCCTCAGGGAGGCGCGTGTGCGCGGGCGAGGCCGAGGCGCGCGCACCCGGAGCCCCGCGCCGCGCCCGCCCGCGCGCCCCTGCGCTCCCCGCGCCGCCCCTCGGGGTCCCGCGGCGCCCGCAGGCCGCGCCGCCCGGCTGCCGGCACCCCTGCCGCCCGCCCGACCCTCGGCAGCCCCGGGGCGCCTGCTCCGCCGAGCGAGCCAGCGGAGGGCCAGGCGGCGGCGCCGGGCGGGGGATGCTGAGCGAGCCGCCTGGCGCACCTCCTGCCGCCCGCCCCGGCCCGCCCGCCCCATGGGCCCCGGATCCACTTTGACCCTGCCGGGCGCTCTGGAGGTGGGGGGGCTGCAGACCTGGAGTCGGTGCCAGGAAATTCCCGACCGCCCCAGGCCGGTGAGGGTTAACTGTGCCGCCTCCAGCAGCGCCGTAAACAAACCTTTTAAAATATCTGGAGTCAGTAAGTTAAGGGAAATAAAGGGGAAGCGGGAGGATAGCTCTCCTGGTGGGACCTGCAGTTTGGCCTGCAGTGGGGGTCCCTCCATCCTCCAGCCAGCTAGTCCCTGGAAACCAAGCTCCCCTCTTTTTATTTCTTACAGGGAAGGGGCAGGCCTCTGGGTGTAGACTGAAACTTCCTGCCCCAATTCCAGTCTGGAGAGAGGCACATTGTCAGCTGGATGGATGACAGAGTGTCATTGTGGCTCCTAAAAATCAACTCCTTATTTTTACTTCCTGATTTTAAAGAACATTTCCCCCTTCCTGAATTTCATAGACATGCTGAGAAGCCCACGTCTAAATCTGTTTCTCCAAAACCGGGAACTCGACTCAGTCCCCCACCCTCCTGTCCTCTTGGCCGCTGCTCTGAGAGCCTCTCAGGATTCCAGAGATTTCCTGGAGAGAGCAGTGCAGAGCAGTGCAGTTAGGTCTCACCACTTGCACCAAGCCCCCACTCCCGGCCATGGGGAGGCCGTTCTGGTACTCTCCCCTTTGTTCTTTCTCAATGAGAAGAACGACTCACTGGGGTCCCTAGAAATCTAGCTCCTTGGGTAAAAGGCACAGGACGCCTCTAGGGTCAAGCCTGAGAGTCACCCTCTCACCTCCCTGACCTGTGAATGAGGATTAACAAACCAAGTCTGGTGAACATGCAGAGGAAGAAAACACAAACGAGAATTCCTTCCTATTTGGAGTTGGATTACAAAATGCTCCCCCCCTTTTCCGCCCCCCCCCCAGCTCTGAAGTAGTCCTTCCTTTATTAGCATCCATAACTAATGTGCAAAATGTAAAACAATAAATTGAGTGAGTGTCCATATAGTTTGAAAAAACGGAATTATTTTACAAGCTGACAACTCTGGTCCCTAAAAGCCTCCCTCATTAGTTGAAGGTACTACCAAGGCTACAGGAGAACAAAGAGACTCCGAATATAGGAGAAAGTACAGATGAGAAGGGCTGTCTTCCCAAATCCCAGTCCACATTGTATTTGGGGAGAAGGAAAAAAAATGTCTTCCTAATATCTCCTTAGTACATGCCTTTGCTGGAAGTGTTTGCTCTGGCAAAAATGAGATTCCTGAGCCATCCAGACAGCATTCCCAGGAACAAAAGGTGGGGGGTGGAGGATGGAGGAAAGGAGGGAACAGCCCCTCTTTGGAAGAACTGCAAGTTCCACAGCCTGGGCAAGGAATGCATTCTGTCCCTGTGCTGGGGGCTGCAGCCGGGAAGCTTCCAGAAAGCAGATCTCACACCCCTCTCAGAGCTCTGGCTCTTCCTCCTTTCCCACTATATCTGTTTATACAAAGGAGGGCTGCTGAAGGACAAACAGAATCATGTTTGTTGGGAGTCCCATCCAGGGCTTGAAGCTCAAGATACAGATTTGCCTTCACCGTGGAGGCTGAAGATAAATAGATGGTCTCAGAAAGGGAAAGAGAAAGCTCTGAGGTGTGTGGGGCTGGTGGATTGGTTTACTCATAAAAGGCCTCTCCCCTAAAGCCAGATCTCCAAAGGGAGATTTCTATTTGAATTTAAACACAGTGCTTTGTGTTAATACATGAGTGTACTTGAACCTAAAGCAATTTCACTGTGGGTATTTAAATTTTTTTCATCAGAAGTAGCTCCTATTTTCTGTTTGAGGCCTCTAGCCTGGGGGAAGTTGCATTAATACTTTTTTTTTCAGAGTATACTTTTATGTAGAATAGGACAGTTGGAAAATAGGACCTTTTTTTTTTTTATCCTCACCCAAGGACATTTTTACATTTTTTGTTCAGATAGAGTGGGAGGGAGAGAGAGAGAGAGAGAGAAACTTCGACGTGAAAGATACACATCGAGTTGCTGCCACCCGCACGACCCAACCAGGGCTAGGGACACACTGCAACCAAGGTACGTGCCCTTAGTGGGAACCGAACCCGGGTCTCTTGGGACCGCAGGCTGATGCTCTAACTGCTGAGCCAAACCAGCCAGGGAGAGAACAGGACCTTTTGAAGAAACCCAAATAATTGTTGTAGATACCATTTTTACTAAGGTCTCATGGAAATAAGTCTAAATGAATACTATTTACAAATAAAATGTAGAACAATTATAAAGAACCTTAATAGGGAGATCTTTATTATAACTATTATTATTATTATCTGATTTATTAAGATGGTCCCATTACTCTTCAACCCCTATGTGCCTGTACCAAAACAAATGTTTAACTTAATCGTCAATTTTAAATCCTTAATACAAAGCCAAGAAAGGCTTGGACTTCTGGAATTAGAATGCCAGAACTAAAAAGGAAGCATTTTTTTGTCAAGGAGTAAGAGATTACTTAAATTAAAAATAAGAGCTGGTGGAACCTATGAAGTTGATGTTGCATCTGTGCACATTCATGACCTTGAGACTGGAGGGACTTTTCTCCTGAGATGGGTACAGCAGTTCCACAGACACTGAATGAAACCACGCAGTTCCTGAGAGCTATGGGGGAGGCAGCTCAGTGAGGGAAGCTGCTGGCTTCCTAGGTTAGGCCTGTTTGTTTAAACAAAATCTATGAAGAAAGGGACTAAGAGATGAATCCTGGCCCTGGCCAGTGGTGCTCAGTGGTTAGAGCATCTTCCCATGCACCAGGTTCAATCCCCAGCCCCAGTCAGGGCACGTGCAGAATGCAACCAATCGATGCATCTCTCTCATATCAACGTTTCTCTGATGTTTCTCTCTCGCGCCTCCCTCCCTTCCACTCCCTCTAAAAATCAATGGAAAAAAATATCCTCGAGTGAGGATTAACAATAAAAAAAAGAAGGAAAGAAAGAAAAATCCTGCTCAATCTGGGGCAAGCATACAGTTGCACTTAGCATCCCCCAAACCTGGATTGGAAGCCTCCTAAGTGGACCCAGAAGCAAATCTGTGGCATCCAACTAAGGTCTCCTTTTGGCTACGCATGCATGGCTTTATTAATTTATGCCTTATTCTGAAGACATGGCTGCAACTCAGAGGTCGCCTTTGTGACTAGGTGGGAATTTTCCTTTTATAATCTCTCCATTCTCCCAGAAAAAGATGCTTGGCTGAAAGCCAGCTGTGCAGGTGGCCTTGCTGGAAGGTGATGGGAGCCTCTGTTCCACCTCCCCCTGCAAGGTTTGTCGATACACCTTCTCTCCTGTTCAGCCAGGCTGCAGACCCATAGGCAGTCTGTTTCTCCTTCCAGAGGCTTCTTGGGTGTTTGCAACTGTATCTATGGACTGCAGAATAAGCCCTCTAGGCTTTCTGCTTGCAAATTACATGCTAATATGCCGAGCCCAGGATAGCTTGGGTTTTAATCCACCTAGGAGTTCTAATGTCCTCAGGCCTTTGTCTCTCCACTGGTATCTCAGAGTGGTTCTAGCCTGGAATGGAGGTGCCTTTCTGCTTCTATTTTTTCATCATTCACCAGGTCCCGAGCAGATGGTATGGCTGTGCTGGCTGTCATCACTCCTCCTATGTTTCCATGGAAACATGGGGCATAGGGACCATCTCTGCCTTGAGTTCTCTGACAGTATCCTCTTGTGGAGAACTTCAGCACTCTGGGCCCCTCTCCTTTGTCTGGCCACATTCTGGAGAGTTTGAGAATGTTCTGTGGCCCTGGAAGCCAGGGTCATTTCAGAGATTAGCTAACCACATACTCCCCACAAATGGTTGTGAACTGGCCTGAAAAGGGAGAGAAAGGGATGGGGGCCAGTATCCCTGTCACATAGCTGAGGCCAATATGCAGTGGTAGCTTATTTGGACTATTTGCCCCTCAGCCAGGTTCCATAATAGCTGATTATTGCCCAGATGTCAAAAGAGATGTTTCTAATGTTGCATCTGCTCATCAGGCAACAGATATTTAAGAAGCATGTTACTAGTGTTTTACATTTTACTGACATTCTACCCCCTCCACTTGCATTTCTTTTTATTTGTTTGTACAAAACCCCCTTTTCCCAAGGAATGCACCTTTCTCAAAGTCTCTAACATCCTCTTGCCTATATTTTTCACTTATATAGCCACTAAAGCATTAATTAGATTCAGAGGTCCATGGAAACGGCAGAGCTGGGCAGGGTCAGAGGCCAGGCAGGGCAGAGAAAAGAGTGAAGAAAATGACCCTTGGGAGAGGGTAAGGAAGTGGAGGGAAATTTTCCATGCCATTCAAGTAGCAGACAAGACAAAGATAATTTCAAAATGTGGTCAA